CGGTTGCCAGACACTCCCCGCCTGAGCCGCTCGCTCTTCGGCGGCAGAGAACGTCCCTCCGCCGGCGTGAGGAGTGTTACGAGTTTGGGGCGTAATCCTCCCTCGGGAGACGTCACGTGTCACCTGGCCGCGTAGAACTACGTTTTTAGGTAGCCGGTACCCTGAAAGCTGCACCCCCGCTGTGGGTGGTGTTGGTACCTCACGGGAGGGCAATTGCTGGAGCTCTAGATGGCGGGATTAGGCCTCTCGAGGCGGGGGGCTGTCACAGGCTTAAGGCAGCAGTAAATCCGGGCTCAGCAGGGTTTGGTTTTATGTTGCAGTTAAGGTGCAAAAAAAAATATTGTTTTCTGGGAATGTGGTTTTAGCGACGGATGAATAACAGGTGTTTAAAAAGTGACGTCTCAAAAAGTTGGAGGACATCAGTTTAGGGAAAAGGCTGAGGAAAGCTTGTCGTGAAGAGGATTCCAATTCACTGTTCTGCATGTCGATAATACAATAGAGAGCAGAGCAGGCTTAATCTAAGAATAAGTCTTTACGATTCCCAGGGAAATATAAACTATGGTTCATCCGATCAATGCTGATTTTTAAAAGAACAATTTAGACAAACATGTATCTGTAGTCATCTAGACTCTCCAGAGTCTCTGTAAGAGGAAAATCTCTGGCGATCTCTTGCAACAACGTGCTTATAAAAACAGAGAAGAGTCTCACTGTGAAGTATTTGAATAACAAGTTCCTACAGTAATTAATGAATACTAGCCATTGTTGACCAACTTTACGGTATAAGCACATATTGAAGTAGTTTGTGTGTTTTAGCTAAATGCATCTGCCTGAGGAGGTGGAACTCCTAAATCAAATGCTTGAGAGATTGGTCATTTTCACGGTCGATTTGATTTTTGTCTTGAGATATAACCATTCTTTGGTCTATTAGTATTGATATCAGCAGAGCACCAAAATGATTTGGTAAAGATCACTGTGCATGAAGAATCTTTGTATAGATCACACATAGATAGCTCCACGACTTCCTTGTTCATTCGCAGTGTCTTAATTTTTCTTCAATGAACTTGTGTGTCAGAACTCATCTTTGCAGGTCATTTGACTAAAAAAAAAAGTGACAGCTTTATTTAGAGTCGGCTAAGGTCCTAAAAATTAACCTCTGATTGTTAGTCCAAATATAATTCTCTGAAAATTAACCAAATAAGTCCTCTAAAGTAATGTGTGCAAATAATTACGTTATTTCTTATACTTACCTTTACTCAAATCTTGTCCTTTCTACTATGTATTATATTTATATGTGTTCTTGCTTGCTTTCATTAGTTTCATTAAGAAGTATATGCCCTTTTGGTAAGACAACATTTTTGATAGAGGTTGCTTAAATTTACATGTCAGAGGGGAAAATTTACATTTAAGCATTTAACAATTGTTTATCACTTCATGTTGTTGAAGTATATGTTACTTCTGTATACAGCTTCTCATTTGATTTGATTGCCCTTTGATATTACATAAGTATACCTAAGTGCTAGATATTAAACATTTCTTTTTCTCCAATAGTCAGGACAAAGAATCTTTGTTTCTGTAACATGGACACCACTAGAAGAAGGAAAAGTCAGAGAACTGGTAACTTTTATTATTAATGGCATTGTAAAACAACAAGCTGTGCTCCTGGGTGTTGCTGAGCAGCCTGTGAAGAAAAAGGTGAGTGCGTTTATGTGTCTTAATTCTATTACTTTGACATAGCTGACACAAATATTGTTTTTATTAGTAGAAAGCTCAATGAAGGAGAAAGAAAAATTGATAAATGATGCTGTCTGTGGGAATGCCCATTGTCTTCAAATTTTTTCAGCTGGGTTGGAAAGTAGGTACTGGTACATTACAGCTTAGAGAATAAAACTAAAACATGACCAAAACCACTATTTTCAAGCCTGGAAATAACTTACGGTGAATTTTGGACTAGGTGTTCTTTTTATGTTATTTTTAGACTTCGAATGAATACACTAGTAATGTTCACTTTTACACATAAAAATATGTAATGCTAACTTCTATTTATGGTTCTTTTTCAGAAGAGTCTTTGGGATACTATAAAAAAGAAAAACTCTTCAGAAAAATCGGCTTCAAAAAAAGTTAAAAAAAGTACTTCAAAAGTCAAAAATGTTAATAAAACCTTTCAAGTTTCCCAGAAGGTGGATAGACTTAGGAGCCCACTCCAACCCTGTGAAAATCAGAACACAATGCAAAATAGTATATCCCCAGGAAATGACTCTTTTGTGGGCTCAGAAAATAAATTGCCAATATCTCCTATTGCACCAATGCTAGAGGACCATTGCAATACTGTTTGCACACCGCTTGCAATGAGAAGATCTACTACATTCTCAGATATTGCTGCCGCTGTAAATGAGGAGTTATTGCCTGAAATAGATAGCTGTAATGTCAAGAAATCTGATAATGAGCACAATGAATTAAAATCTGAAAGTGCATACAGTTCTATTGGCTTAGCACAAGTGCCCATGTCAAACAATGACGTAATTCTTAATTGTACACTTTCACCAGTTTGCACTCCAGAACAATCAGCATCTGTGCCTGTTTTAAGTACAAGGAGAATTTTAAGTCCAGATTCTTTTGTAAATGACAGTTACCAAGTGGAAATAGATATAATAGAGCAGTCTGTTCCAATTTTGTCACCTGATCAGTTTGTGAAAGACAGCTTGTCAGATAAACTATCAAAGACTCCTAAGCTTGAGGCAGCTTTAATATCGTCTGCTACAGAGACTTACGTTGTAAAGAAATTCCTACCCTCAAAATGGAAAAAAAATGGAGATGTAGAGACAAAAACACATGTTCATATAGAACAAAACTTAAATGAAGTCTTTGAGAAGCATAATGTAGAATCACAGGTAGTTCATTATGACAAACCCAAAGAAAATCACTTCAGTTTTCCTTCTACAGAGGAATTTCAGACTCACCATTCTTCTCAGAGAGAGCAACCAAAAAAGCGTCCAGTTCTTTCTGCCACTGTCATCAAAAATAAGCCTGATGCTGCTGAAGAAAAGAGAATGGAAAACCTCCAGCCAAAATCTAAAAAATGCCTTAGTAAAGCGATAATGGAATGTGCTAATGTGGTACCTGTACATACAAAAGCAGAAATATCAAAACACCTTCCAGTTATAGGTCCCATTTCAGCTGAAAATAAGTGTCACAATGACAAAGTAAATTCATATACTGGATCAACTTCTTTGTGTCGTAAGAGGAAAAGTGAAATATGTGTAGAAAATAGTAGAGTTACAGCTCCAGTGTATGTGGAAGAAGTGGAAAGAAAAAGAACTCTTACATCTAGCGTGGACAATAAAATGCATATTACTGTGAGGCCATCAGCCTTCAAACCGACAAACCGAGAGAGAGTAGGGCAGAGAAAGAAAGCTGGTGAGCAAATATTTCCTTCATTTAGCACTTTCTGAAAGATGCTTTTGATTATGAAAGTTAAATATCAAATGGAACTGTCTAGCAACAGTCGGGAATATTTCATGTCTCTGAAATGTACGTCTTTGCAATTTGTTAGGTATTACCTGCATTTTAAAAATTTGAAAACTAGGTCAGAGTTTTGGCTATGTAACTAGCTTCAAATTTACTTTATTCTTTTGTAAACCTGATTAATGACAGTAACAGGTAAAGTATCTGGCAATTCTCAAGCAGAGCCCTTGTTATGTAATTCAAATTTACTAGAAACTTACTCACTGCATGGGATTTACCATGTGTACAATTACCATTGTGAATATTTGACTCCATTGCTGTTGTCCTTTGTTTTCAAACATGTAGTTCTCATGTCTCATTCAGTCTGTGTGCTTCTTACTGTCTGTAATTAGCTTATTGTCAGCCTTGGGTAGATCTTTCTGCCTTTAGAGCTTGACAGTACTTTTTTGCTTGAAGATCAGAAGTTAACTTCTCATATTTCAATGTATTCTGAGTTTTCTAAATGTTCCCATTCCCAAGTATGCTCTAGAAGAGAAAAAGAATGAGGGTCTGTAATTGAAAGAAGCATTTAATTTGGAGAATCTTCATGCAGTCCCTGCAATATAACTAACAGGAAAAATTCATCATGGCTTTTAGATCAAAATAACATACACTGCTTTATTCAGTTCAAACGATCTGTTTGATTTGGAGCTTTCAGTAACACACATTGATTTCAGGCTTTTTAAGATAGTCTACACAAAAGCATAACACAACAATGTTAGTGTGCAGCTGGAAAAGCTGTGTTATCTACCAGGTTGTTTCTATTCATCTATTGGGGTAAGGATAGATGGGCTGGACAAGGAAGTATTCCATGAGCCCAAAATGACTTTGGTGTCTCTTAATCCTAGTTGTGAAATGCAAAAATGATGACAGCTTTGAGTTACATTCCTCTTGAAAATTTTCCTGAGAAATATAACCTGTTATTCTTTTAATTGCATAGGCATCGTCTCTGGGTTTCACAAAGAAAAATCGTTATTTCACTACTAAAAGTTAACTTAGAAAAGCCCATCATTAATTTAATCCATTTAAGATCCAATTTTAAAATTATCAGAATGTATTTAAAATTTATTAGAAGTGCATGAGAGATTCGAATGAATTCTTCACTTCTCTAGAACCAAATGCTCTATGAAAAACTTCAGCTAAGCAGGAAAGTGCAGCCTGTAATTTATATTCTCTCTTTTCTTGCTTCTTGTCGGGTAGTGTCAGGCAGCAACTATAGTCCGTCTGCAACAGCATACTTTTTTAATCCTTCATTTGGTGTCAATGTAACAAAATGATTGTGTTAAAAGTGTGTATTTTTATATGTTGAGAAAACCTAGATCTCCATTTTTTCCATGTGTTTTATTTTAAGTCCTTCTAAGTTGGGCTGCTCTGAAATGAGTATCAATGTAGCATGCCATCAGACTGTGGGAAGAGGCCAGTCAAGGTTATACCTCTTACCCCTGATGCTTACAGGAATACATACTTTCACATGTTCTAATGAATATTTTTACCAGTTAGCTTAGTGTTTCTATCCATCTGATAATGAATTGTAAACAGTATATTTCCTTAGTGTATGGAATAACTGTGAAATACGATAGCTGTTATTTACTCTTAACTGTTTTTCCCTTTTGATTGTAGTCAAACTGCTTTGCTTAACCTTTTCCATCAACAGGAGATAACTGGTATTTTGTATGGGTTCATGGGGAATTACTCCAGTTCCAGACTTTATAAGTGATATGAACCTTTATACATTAACATTCACTGACATATTTATTGCTGATATTTGTGTTAACGCCTATAGGTTCTTCACTTCAGAAAGCATCTAAAACTACCAACAGAATTAGTAAACCCATTCCTGGATTGGCTCAGTCTCACCTAACGTTTGTGAAACCACTGAAAACAGGTAGGCAGACTTCTGGTATTTAGTGAAACAGTATACACTGAACTGAATGTCACAATTACTGTACTGCTGGTAGTTGGTAAGACCCAACTGATTAGAGTTGAGATGAAATTGAAGATTGTACCTACAATGAATCAATGTTTATTAGAAAAATATATGCAACCTTTCATGTTCCATTTTGACTACTTGTAAGAAAATTGGTTGCAACACAAGGCCAGTTGAAGGTAAATGTTACTTGCCTCCAGTTTTTCCTCTAAGTGTAAAAGCTACATTAAAGGTATATTCCCAGCTGACTGATGGCTATCAGTGAAATGCCTCTTCCATGTCTGATAACATCTTAATACAACAACAGAATACCTAAGAAGAGAAAATTTCTTGCCGAAAAGATACTGATTTTGCAGAGCTAGTAATACTATGTTGACCTGATCAGAAAAACGCATCTATAAAATGGTTCTTTCTGGATGTAATCCAACTCAACTTGGTTTTGCCCCAAGATGTGCATTGCAGACAGCCTAGGTTCTAGAAATATTGTCTTTGTTCTACTGCTTTAATAACTTAATTCATGTGGCTGATTTTGTGGCTAATCTTTATTTAATGGTGGGTGATCTGCAAGTCACTGAAGATTCTAACAGTCTGCTTTTTTCTGCTATCGTGCTAAATGGAGTGTCAAACATTAGTCCTTTCCACAATGAAATAAATATTGGTTATCAGAGACTTACATTTTTAATTTTTTTTAAAGTCATCCCTAGGCACCCAATGCCTTTTGCTGCTAAAAACATGTTTTATGATGAACGTTGGAAGGAGAAGCAGCAACGAGGTTTCACCTGGTGGTTAAATTTTGTACTTACCCCTGATGACTTCAATGTAAAAACAAACACCTCACAAGGTAAGAGTACATGAATTTTCACTTTGTCTTTTAATGTTCTTAAACATTATATAATGTGCTTTGTTAAAGTTAATGAATAGTAGTACTAGCTTAACACTAGTCCCAACTTCTCAGTTTAGTTTGTGTAAGATTAAGCTCTTGGGTAAGAGGAGATTTTTGGGTTTTCATTTTTCTGTATCACTTGGGTTTTCCTTTTGAGCCTCTGACTTAGTACTGTGATGATCATAAACCAAATATTTGGTAATGTGTTTCAGTGGTGGTTATGCAAGAAAATATGAAATATGCTAAACAAAAGCAGGTCTCACATTGGAGACAGTGCTGCCCATCCCAGTAGAATTTTATAACTACCTAACCCTTTTCAGAGTCATATTTTCCCCTTGTGATAGTGCACTTGCTCACACCAAGCACAGCATACCACACACCTGAATGGGGACTGTGCTGTGCAACAAGAAACACACAACGGAATGTGTGGATGCAGCACTTCTCAGTGGGTGTTGTGTGGGGAATCTCCACCTGCTGAAAAACATTATAGCTGTCACTACTAAAATGAAGGTAAAGTATTTTATCTCTATTTTTAGCTTCAATCTAAAAAATTGAAGATGGTACAGTTAGTCTTAAGACTGAATTCCTTGTGCTGCTTGCTTATGAAATAAGCATTGTTATGTTAAATATTTGACTAATATGCATGTACTTGACAATATATGTTTAGTGCAACAGCTGATAAGCTTCCTGGGTGATAAAATCATTGGTCAGAAGGAGAACAACAAAATGTGAACTTAGAGAGGAGAAAATTAAATGAGGTGGGCGAAGCTACCTTTATTTGACATGTAAATGCATATTTTTTGCGTGTGTTTAAACAGTAAATGCAGCTGCTCTTATCTTGGGAGAAGAGAACCATCATAAAACCAGTGTTCCTAAAGCACCAACGAAAGATGAAGTGTCTCTAAAAGCTTATACGGCTCATCGTAAGCTGAATAAGTTACGACGTGATGCTTGCCGTTTGTTTACATCCGAAACAATGGTTAAAGCTATTAAGAAGCTGGAAGTTGAGATTGAATCTGGACGTTTGCTAGTTCGTAGAGACAGACACCTCTGGAAAGATGTAGGTAAGATTACTAAAACTTTGCATCCTCTCTTTTCTTGTGTGAATAATCCTTTCTCTACTCATTAAGTTGATTTTGATAGAAATTTTTGCTATATGAAGTGTTTGCTGGATGTAATATTATATGATGCTCTCTTGCAGGAGAGAGGCAGAAAGTCCTTAACTGGCTTTTATCTTATAACCCTTTGTGGCTGCGTATAGGTCTGGAGGTAAGTGCAGAATTTATGGTCTATAATCAAAGTTTAAATCTAGCAATTTTTTTTTATTAGGGGATGTCTCAGGTTTCTTTGTACTTTCTGTTTTAATAAACCAGGTAGGTTCAATTCAGTTATACCATGTTTATATCTCTTTTAAATTATTACAACACACTTGTTTTTTAAAAAGTGCTTACCTTATTAAAAAGGAAAACATTTAGTCAAGAAAAGTGGAAGTTAACTCCCTGACCAATAACACAAAAGCAGGTTCCTATCAGTTTCACTTTTTACTAAACTAGAGAAAAATGCACCTGTCTTAAGGAATTTCTGGATTGATTCCTCACATGTAGATGATCATACATGTTTTGAAATGATATTTTGAATGAATCAATGAATTTTGAAATGATATTCTGAAATTTAATTGGGTTTTATCCTTCAGTGACCGATTTGAAAAACTGTTTGATTTTTAGAGACTAATTACCATTTACTACTTCAGAGTTTCAGTAATGCATGTTGTTCAAAAAAATCCTCATAGTATTTGAGGTAATTTTTAATGGTTCTGCTTTTTTCCCCTCCTTTCATATTAGACTGTTTACGGAGAACTGATAGCTTTGGAGAGTAATAGTGATGTTACGGGTTTAGCAATATTTATCCTGAATCGATTGCTTTGGAACCCTGACATTGCAGCTGAATACAGGCATCCCACTGTGCCTCACCTTTACCGAGAAGGTAACTAGTACTTCCAAAAATGGGTTATTTTTTGCACTTAATTTTTGAACTAGCGCTTAATGAGTTCTATGTTTTTAGGTCATGAAGAAGCGTTGTCAAAATTCACACTGAAAAAATTGCTGTTGTTAGTTTGCTTTCTGGATTGTGCCAAACGGTCTAGAATGATTGACCATGACCCTTGCCTTTTTTGTAAGGATGCAGAGTTCAAGGTAAGAGAGGTGTGATTTGATGTCTTCCTCCAGTATTGTCCTAAAAGTCAATGTAGAATATGGGGTTTGGGTTTTTTTTTGTTTTTTGTCTGACTGTACTTTTCTTTAACAAGTCTTGGCTGTTCAGCGTTTTGCATGAACATTCTTAACACATCATCTCACAGTCATGTTAAGGAATTCCCAAGAAAATTTTTAGGTGTTGGTCCTGTGGGAAGGATACCATTATCTTGTGTTATCTGGCTTCCCTCTCTAAATCTGATGTTCTGCACTCTTTTTTAGATATCACTGTAATGTACTGCAGCTGATCTTAAACTGCAAGTCAGTCTGATGGGCTTTTGTATTAGTTTTTTCTGTTATTTTCCTGTGATAAGACAGACTATGCAATATCTGGCATACAAAAGTTTTGATTGGGTTTGTACTATGTAGGCAGACAGACTGAGAAAAAAGTATTCCTGAATTTGGTGTGCTTTCAGTGACATGGTAGCCAGTTATGATGAAACTAAAGCTGTGTGAAATGGCTAAAAATAATTAAAAAAAAAATTATAATTTTAGGTATTGGGTAAGGAAATATGGAATGCAGTTTGGTGGACAAGGGATGAAAATTGTGTTCTGTTTGACAAATACTGCAGTGTTAAGATTATCTTACCTTTTTTTCTCTTTTTTTTTTTTTTTTTTCTTTTCTTTTAGGCAAGCAAAGACCTTCTGCTTGCATTTTCTCGGGACTTCCTGAGTGGTGAAGGTGATCTTTCCCGCCATCTTGGTTTCTTAGGACTACCTGTCAGTCATATTCAGACTCCACTTGATGAATTTGATTTTGCTGTAACCAATCTGGCTGTGGATTTACAATGTGGCGTTCGTCTTGTGTGCGTTGATACAGAATTATTTTGAACTATTTATTTTCTTTTGTATAATACTTAATATGTGCTCAGCTAAGATGTTGAACTGTGAAATTCCCTTTGTTAGGAGAACAATGGAACTTCTCACCAAAAACTGGAATCTTTCAAAACAACTGAGAGTTCCTGCAATAAGTCGTCTACAGAAGATGCATAATGTTGATGTTGCTCTTAATGTCCTTAAAGAGCGAGGAATTCACTTGAAAGATGAAAGTGGTGAGGCCTAGAAATCAGGGTTATTCTCAGTGCATCAGAGGACTAGTGCACACTTTAATTCCTTGTTTTATTTGATAGGTGCTTCAATTGATTCCAGGGATATTGTGGATAGACACAGAGAACGAACGTTAGCACTCCTGTGGAAAATTGTCTTTGCCTTCCAGGTATTATTCAATTACTTACTTTGGTTGTTACAAATGAGAGAAAATGAAAACACTAGTCTTTCAGGAATACTTGTTGTCTGTGAAAGCCTCTACTGATCAAAATTTAGACTATAAAATGATCTGCTTTGTATGTTCAAAGTGCTGTTCAAACTTCACCTAAATCTGCTACCTGTTCCCTAACAATACATTTAGATAATATTTCAACTGTGCTTTTTCTTGTATACATTCATATAAGTTTTTTGAAAAAACTTTGAGTTTATGCTGTATGCTAACAATTGATGATTAAGAGTAAAACAGTGTTGGTCTCAAAATGCAGATGAATCTCCTACTAAATGAAAAGGATATTTTGAGGTTATACTGATAGACAATTATAGAGTAAGCTCTGAAGCTATAGCTCTTCTGCTTTTTTCCAACAGTCAATTTGAGGAAACATTCTTGAAATAAGAATGAAGATTTCCTAGGCATTACTGCAATGACATTTCAAAGCCACTGGAAAAAAATTGGTAGAGGAAGCAAAAATAGTTTTCTTAAGACTGTTTTAAGAGTTGAGTTGGATAGTCTTTTGAAAATAAGTATCTAGATGACAAATCCAATTGGAAGGAATATAAAGTATGAAAGGTAAAATAAGATACAGGTTGAGGTACTAAGTAGTCAGTAATGTAAGTGCAATTAACTATATCTAGAGCAAGAATTTCAAAGACTATAGCCACAGAACTGCCAGAGAGCCAGAAGAACATAACAAAAATCAAATTTAACTATTTTCTTACTTAACTACTGTTACAGTATTGAATAGTAACCTTCCTCCAGTTAGTTCTCTTACTGACACATGTATGCATGTGTCACAGTTGCATTGCTTTTGATTAAAGACATTTCAGTGAGCAGTGGCTTTATCCAAGCCATGTGGATATGCTACTTGTTCTCCAAATCTTCTCACACCATCACAACACCAGCTCAAGTCCTCTTAGAATCTCTTAAATGAGGAGGAGTGGTACATGAACTGAGTAGAAATGCAGATGAGACTCTGTTGTTTCTTCTGAAAGCATGGTGAAATTACACAGGATGTTTCAGGGAATTTGCCTGTTTCCTCCAACTATTGACTAGTGAAGTAACCATTTTACACAGAGGGAGTGTTGGTTTAGATGCTTTTATTTGAAACGGTTGGTAGCAAACACTAGCATCTATGCTGGCAAGTCCAGATTATCTGCTACTGATGCAGTGTGGCAGGTACTGCTAAGTGGTGAGAGTAGTTTCTCTTTAAAATGCCTTATCTAAAGACATGCCATGCATACCTCTGCATCCAGCTGCTATAATACATGAAATGTCAGACTGCTGGTGGCATAAATAATTTATTTTTAAAACTTTTTGAATTAGGTGGATGTTTTTCTTAATGTGGAACAGTTAAAAGAAGAAATTGAATTTTTAAAGAATGCACACAAGAGGAAAACACAATTGGGTACTCTCAAGACTTTTCCAAATGGCTGTAGAGTACAAGAAGATAATAGTAGCAACTCCTTACCTCAAAGCTACAGTGAAAATGTTAAGCTGCTGATGGCATGGATTAATGCTGTTTGTGGATTTTACAATATTAAGGTAAACAATTTTGTGTACATTTCAGCAAAGATATCCTTTGCTGTCATAAGAATGCTTAGTCTTGATATAGCAGAGTTCTTCAAATCATCAAATATGTAGTAGACGCCAATGATAATTAGTTTTAAATATCCTTCTGGACTTTGGTTAATCTGATTTGAAATAACCATCTTTCTGTGGGTTCAGCTGCAGCTCTTTTTTTAAACAAATTTGAGCAAAAGGATCTCCCCTTCTAGCTAGTCTTATACATAAAAATGCCTTTTAAACATAGAACATTTTTGCTGGAAAATGGGATTGTTTGAGGGTTTTTGCAATGAACGTTCATCCTAAAGTATTTTTGCGTAAAATTTTCACCACTCATAGGAACTGCGAGAATTAAACTAACGTTTGGGATAAGGGAGATTCCTCTCCTCAGAGATGTTTGTTTAAAGGAACATGTTGTTTGTTCCTTCCAAGAACAACAGCCCTGTTCAGAGACTTGTCTCTGGTCAGAATACAGTCACACCTGCTAGTTTTTCTGAAGGGTAAAATAGAGCACTTAAGGCTGATGCAAAACTTATTACTGTACTACATACATAGTGTAAAGGTATCTATAGAAGTTTCTTTGGGATCCTTCTGTAGAAAGGTTGGTTTCTTTTTGGTTTCTTAAATGTTTCCCTTGGAGATTCACTTTATAGTGATTCACGCCTCTTGTTTCTGGTTTCTCACAGCTGTATGTCACTGTACAGTGAATTTTCAAAGGAAGCACTAGCTACATAAATTCTTTTGTTTGCACTTGGTCACTTTCAAAGGTACAAGATAACAAATTCTATATCTAGTTTATATCAATTAACTGGTAATAAAAGTTCAAGGAACTTGTATCTTACTTGTATTTTATTTAATAGGTGGAAAACTTCACAGTGTGTTTCTCAGATGGTAGAGTCTTATGTCATTTGATTCATCATTATCATCCATGCTACATGCCTTTGGAAGCTGTGTGCCAACGTACAACACAAACAGTAGAATGCTCAAGAACTCATACGGTGGGCCTAAACTGTTCCCCCTCATCCTCTTCAGAGTCCGATACTTCTTTAAATGTTATGGAAGGAATGTTTGACCAAAGTGAGTTATTTGATGCACAGAAATTCATGTTAAATCTCTCTTTTTTTGTGCATAATTTGTGCATAAAAACTTGTCAAATTGTGGAGCAATCAAATTGATTTGACAAACTTTTTCTCTTTGCAAAGCTGTAACTACCTCAGTCCTGTACAAGGAGCTCTTGGACAATGAAAGGAAAAACTTCCAGCTAATCAATGCAGCAGTTTCTGACCTAGGTGGAATACCAGCAATGATTCATCACTCAGACATGTCAAATACAATTCCTGATGAGAAGGTAAGATGCCTTTAGAGTTGATGTGAACATATTCTACTCTTCCATATAGATCTTAACTTGCTGTGTTTTGTGTTTATATAGGTTGTTATTACCTACCTATCATTTCTGTGTTCGCGGCTTCTAGATCTTCGGCAAGAAACTCGAGCTGCACGATTAATTCAGTCTGCTTGGAGGAATTACAGGCTGAAAAGGGAACTGAAACTTTCTCAGGTACTCTTTGCCTGTGCAATATTCATAGCTTCTACTTTGAGAAATAGTAAATAAAGAATATAAATTTCTTAGTGGTGTAATCTACTAAAACACACCTTCGTATAAGACTATTCTGAAGTAATTACATTTGTTTAAAGGCTACTGTTGTTTCTTTTGTGTTCTGATTAAAGCATGTCAACCCTTAAGCCTTTTCCCCGATATTTCAAATATAAAATAGTTGCACTGCTTCCCTAAAATACAAAGGGAGTAGTTAATTTTTAATTACTATTAATGTCTACATCTACATCTACCCCATCTACAAGGGTAATTAAACTGCTGCATGGATTTACTATTTGTGTTCAGAAGTTAAACTTCACCAGTGTTTTGAGTTGAATCTCATGAGTTCTAATGCTTTGTTTCTTGCTTTTCTGGTAGTTATACCAGATCTTTTTATGGTTTTAAAAACATGACACCATTAAGGTTGATAAATGCCCCACTGTGTCTAACTGAGATACACGTTATTCGATGTTGGAACAGCGTTCAAGTGAAATATTCTAAGAATCTGTGGTGTAGAAGGGGGCAGAGGTTGTATTTATGTCAGCTTTCTCATCTCTAGTTTCTATACTTTATAAAAACTACATAGCCTTAATGATGGTGACAAAACATTTATTCCCTTTATAACTGTTTTTAAATAACTAATAGTAAAGATGCTGGTAGGGGGAATCAAAAACAAAACCCCTAAACATTGCAGGCTTTTTTTATTTAGTCTTACAGTGTGCACATATGCACTTTGTTAGGCTAATAGTAGGGTTCTAACAAGATGATCTAATATTGACATGTTACATTTCTTTCTTCCTTTTACTTTAATGTACTTCAGTTTGTTACTAGAGGCTTTGGGTTACTGTAAAAACACTGGTTTGTATGTGTAAACAAAACTCTGGACTAGATGGTCATGAGCTGGTATGACTATATACTCATATTATTTGAATATAGCTGGAAAGCATTCTGGTGTGCTCCATTAGTAAGGGTATCTTAAACTCATGAATGAAAACTAAAATTGAGGCTTAAAAATGGGTTGCTTAAGAGTGCTGAAAAATTGAGTATGAAGGAGGAAGAACTATGAAGGCGAGAGGTTGCAGATTTAAGTGATAACACTATTTTACGAAGAACTTGGTGCTGCGATAAATGTTGTGTCTCAGAAAAGTTCTTTTACTAAAGAAAAGCTGTGGTATCAACAAGCCTAATTTTTATGAGATTGCTTTAGATAGTTATTTTGATACATCAAAAATTTGAGTGAAAATTCCAATCCTAACTGTTCAATGGAAATTCACTCTTTGTAGGAAAAAGACAGAGCTGCTCGGATAATTCAAAAATCTGCAATAAACTTCTTGTTTCGTCGACGCATCCTGAAGAAAGTGAATGCAGCAGTTTTCATCCAGAAGCACTGGAGAAGATACTTAGCCAGGATGATTTTTTTAAATCTGAAAAAGACAAAACTGGAGGAAGCCAGAAGTAAATCTGCCACGGTCATTCAGGTAACATGTTCTAAAGTGAGATACACAGCAAGGCAACCCTCTGAAACCTGTAAGAAAAAGGCTTGCTCATGGTCATCTGTTCTGCTTGCAGCACCTGATGTCTCATGAAAATGTAATACTTTTTTTTTTTCCCCTACCGCCCCACACCTCCCCAACCCCCTTTTTGAGATGTTTTGGTAACTTTTCTCTCTTTAGAGAGAAATGGTAATTTGCTATTAAATCAACAATTATTCCGTCTTAGTTAATATTTTGGTATACCATAAACATTAAAACACTGGGCCTTAAACCAGTCAACATAAGGACTGATCAGAATGTTACTTGAAGAAGCTTTAAAAAAAAATAAAAATTATTCTCTTAGTGTTATGACACCTGCAGTGCACACATTCAAAATGGCAGACATTAATTACCAATTGGTGGTTGGGCAGTTAATACAGTTTCTCAAGATACTTTCCCCCACTATTACTCAAAGCTAAATATTACATTTTTAAGATTTTTTTGGAGTGGAGATTAAAGAAGCACTGATTTATCAAATAGTTTAAAAAGGAATCCTTTGTTGTCAGGGCAAACTTAGCTTTTTCCCCCAGAAATAAATGCTTAGAAAAATCAATGATTCAAGCATTTGGCTTTTAGGTGTGGGGTTTTTTGTTTGGTTTTTTTTTTTCAATGTAGATGTCTGGGCTTATCTTCCTAGGATTTAAGCAGGAATAAAGAGATCTTAAAAAGTCTGAGGTTGGTAGTCCTCAAATTTAGGCTTAACTTGAGATACCATGAAGGAAATACTAAATTTTCTGTTTTTTTCCCTGCAGGCTTATTGGAGGAGATACTCTGCTAGGAAAAGATATTTACAGCTAAGATACTATGTTATTTTTGTACAAGCAAGGATAAGGATGGTTAAGTCGGTTGCTGCATATAAACGAATTATTTGGGCTGCTGTTACAATTCAGAGTCATCTGCGTGCATTTAAGTTGGCAAAAAAAGATCGTCAAAGATATGAAACCTTGAAATCTTCAGCACTTACTATTCAGTCTGCATTCAGAAGATGGAGAAAATGCAAAATTCAACAGAAAATTAAAGCAACTTTAGTGCTTCAGGCTTACTTCCGAAAATGGCAATCTTCAAAACTGGCTAAAAGAAAGAGGGCTGCCCTTGTCATACAGGCTTGGTATAGGATGCACAGAGATCTGAAGCGGTATCTACGTATTAAGCAAAGTGTTATCAAGATTCAGGCTTGGTACAGATGTCAGCTGGCTAGACATATTTACCAGGAATACAGGGCAAAAATAGTGGCAATTCAGCAGTATTACAGGGCTTATAAACTAGGAAAAATTGAAAGAGAGGACTATTTGCAAAAGCGTGCAGCAGTGATAGCTCTCCAAGCTGCTTTTAGAGGCATGAAGGCACGTAAAGTATACAGGCAAACAAAAGCAGTTTGTGTTGTTCAGTCACTGTGGAGAATGAAAAAAGAGAAACTAAGATTCCTACGATTAAAAAAATCTGTTACTACATTGCAGTCACATGTGAGAAAATACCAACAAGTAAAAAGATACAAAGAGATTAAAAACGCTGCCTCTGTAATTCAAACTTGGTATAGGGCACATGTCACTTCTAAAAAAGCAGCTGCTTCTTTCCAGAGGATGCGTCTGGCTGCTATTGTCCTACAGTCTGCCTACAGAGGAATGGAAGCTAGGAGAGAGGCTCGCGTGTTGAGATCTGTGATAAAAATTCAGTCAAGTTACCGTGCTTATGTTGTCCGGAAGAGATTTAAAAGCTTGAAAGATGCAACAGTGAAGATTCAAGCTTTTGTAAAGATGAAGCAAGCACATACGCATTATTGTACATTAAGGGAGGCAACGCTTTTTGTCCAGCAAAGGTATCGGTCTCATAGATATGCTCTTCAACTTAAAGAAGATTATAGAAAATTGAAGGGAGCTTGCATAAGAATTCAAGCTGTAGTTCGAGGCTATCTTGTCAGGAAACAAATACAGAGGTGGAGGAAGACTGCAGTATTTCTCCAGGCTTGCTACAGAATGAGAAGGGACAGGCAACATTATTTAAGCATCTATAGTGCTTCCATTGTCATTCAAAAGCATTATCGCGCATACAGAAAGCAACTGTGTCAGAGGCAGGAGTTCTTGCAAGTTAAAAAAGCAGCTGTGTGCTTACAGGCAGCTTACAGGGGTTATAAAGTACGCAAAAAGCTTGAACTTGAGTATAGAGCTGCTATTAAAATTCAGACTGCTTTTAGAGCTCATGCTGCAAGAATGAAATACAAGGCAATGGTTCAAGCTTCCATTGTGATTCAGAGGTGGTACAGAACTTATAAGACTGGCAACAAGCAAAGACTGAACTTCTTAATAACAAGAGCAGCAGTGCTTTCTTTACAGGCAGCTTTTCGTGGCTGGAAGGTACGAAAGCAGATTCGAAGACAACGTATTGCTGCTACTAAGATACAGTCAGCCTTCAGAAGATTCATGGCGCTGAAAAAATTCAGACTTATCAACCATGCTGTGCTAACTATCCAAAAGCAATACAGGGCCACTCTTATAGGCCACAAACAACGGCAAAAATACATTCAGCTGCGTAACTCTGTAGTGCATCTTCAGGCAATATGGAGGGGGAAAACTGTGAGAAAAATAATTCAAAAGAAACATATTCTTGCAACAATTGTTCAGTCCTATTACAGAATGCATGTAAATCAACTAAAATATAAGAAACTAAGACAAGCCGCTGTAGTGATTCAGAAATACTTCAGAGCTTACTGTATGAAAAAAAATGAACGTGCAGTTTATCTAAAAACAAAGGCAGCTGTGTTAGTCTTGCAGTCTGCTTACCGTGGGATGATTGTGAGGAAACAATTGAACAAACAAAACAAAGCTGCCACAACCATACAAGCTGCCTTCAAATCTTACCTGGTCAAAAAGGACTATGAAAGACTTAGATCTGCAGCTATAGTAGTTCAAAGGCATTATCGTGCAATTATGCATGCTAAACATCAAAAGCAGAAATATTTGTCTTTAAAAAAAGCCGCAGTCAAATTGCAAGCTATTTATAGAGGTGTGAGAGTTAGACGACGAATTCACTGCATGCATCAAGCAGCTATTTGTATCCAAGCCACATTTAAGATGCATCGAATGAACATAAAATATCAGGCAATGAGAATGGCAGCAATTATAATTCAAAGACAGTATAAAGCATTTTGTTTAGGCAAAGTACAACGTAAAAAGTACTTGGAACTAAAGAAGTCTATCATTATCCTTCAGGCTGCCTGTAGAGGCATGAAGGTGCGACAAGACTTAAAAACTATGCATCAGTCAGCAGTGATAATACAGTCTTATTATCGAATGTACAAACAACAGAGGGATTACAGAAAATTGTTGCTGGCAACTAGGCAGATTCAGCAGTGGTTCCGTGCTTGTAAGGAGCGAAATACACAAGTTCACAACTATATGATTATGAAAAGTGCTACACTTTGTATCCAGGCTGCGTTCCATGGTATGAAAACAAGAAGACTTATAAGAACTATGAGTGAATCAGCTGAGCTTATTCAAAGAAGATTTAGAACTTTTCTCAAAAGAAAACATTTTCTTTCCATTAAGACAGCTGCTATTGTAATTCAGAGAAAATACAGGGCAACAAAACTAGCAAAAATTCAACGTCGAAAGTATCTGTCTTTCCTTAATGCTGCTGTTATCATACAGTCTGCTTATAGAGGCTTTGCGGTAAGAAAAAAAATGCAGCAGATGCATCAAGCTGCTACAGTTATTCAAGCAATGTTAAGAATGCATAAAATTTACATTTCTTATCAAGCTGTCAGGCTTGCTTCAGTAATCATACAGCAACGTTATCGTGCTTACAGGGAAGGGAAGCGTGTAAGAGAAATATACTTAAAACTCTACAATTCTGTTTTAGTTCTTCAGGCTGCCTATAGAGGAATGAAAACAAGATGTTTCTTGAAGAAAAGACGTGAGGCAGCACTTACAATACAGAGAAACTACCGAATGTATAGGCAGTACTGCCATTACAGAAAAGTTCAGTGGGCAACCCAGCTAATACAGAAGAGGCACAGAGCCAATAATCTAAAGAAAATTGCAGTACAGCAGTACTCTTCATTAAAGAAAGCAGCAACTTGTATTCAGAAGGCTTTTCGAGACAGGCAAGCAAAAAAACATCGAGAAATGCACTGTGCTGCTATTGTTGTTCAGAAAAATTTTAAAGCTTTTAGAGAACGTCAAAGATATCTCTCTCTTAAAGCAGCTAGTCTTGTCTTTCAGAGAAGATACAGAGCTTTGATTCTGTCAAGACAGCATACTTTGGAGTATCTTTCTCTTCGCAGAGCAACTATTCATATACAGGCTGTGTACAGAGGCATCAGGGTGCGGAAGAGTATTGAGCATATGCATTCAGCTGCTAGTACAATACAGTCAGCCTACAAAATGCACAAGAATAGAAGATCCTATCAAAATATGAGAATTGCAGCTATTGTTATACAGAACTACTATCGTTCCTACTTTAAAGGAAAGAATCAACGAAAGAAATACCTGACAATGAAGAATTCTGCTCTTGTTATTCAAGCATCTTATAGAGGCATGAAGGAACGACGGAAACTGAAAATCATTCTTGTTTCAGCAATTGTAATACAGTCTAATTATCGCATGTACAGACAACATAGATACTACAAACAGTTGTGCTGGGCTGTCAGAGTTATACAACAAAGGTTCAGAGCCAAAATGGCAAAAGAAGCTGACATGGAAAACTATGCAAAAATAAAAAAGGCTGTCATTTGCCTTCAATCCTCTTTTCGTGCTAAAAAAGCTAGGCAGTTGTATAAAACCAGTGTTGCTGCACGGTGCATACAATCATTCTTACAAATGCGCATAGAGAGGAGGCGCTTTCTTGAAAAGAAAGCAGCAGCAATAATGATCCAGTCTATGTTCCGATGCCAAAGAACAAGGATTCGCTATAAATTGATTCAGAGTTCAGCAGTTGCTATTCAGAGGTGGTACAGAGCATGTCGCAGGGCTCGTTTACAGAAAGCAGAGTATTCTGCTCAAAGGCAAGCAATAGTAATTATTCAGTCTGCTTTCCGTGGTATGAAAGCAAGAAAAATAGCAAGACAAGCACGAGCTGCAAGAACGATTCAGTCTTTTCTTCAGATGGCTGTGCAGCGTAGAAAATTTATTCAACTTAGAACAGCAGCTATTACGTTACGAGCCTATTACTTAATGCATAAAACTAAATCAGAGTATGCAAGCTATAAAAAAGCAGCAGTTGTCTTACAGCGATACTACCGATCCCATTTGATTGTGAAATACCAAAGAATGACTTATTTACAAACACGGAGGAACGTTATCATTGTGCAGGCTAGAGTCAGAGGATTCATTGAAAAGAAGAGGTTTCACAAAATTAAAGAAAGCACAATAAAAATTCAGGTACTTTTAAATGTATAGTAGTGGGGTTTGGGGGTGTGGTTCGTTTTTTTTTTTTTAAATATTGCTGCTCTTGCAAACAAACGTTTAAACCTATATGTTAAAATAGAATTCATTTCTGAAGTGTACTGCACGGCAGGTGTGTAAAGCTTACTACCACACCGCACAGTTCAGTCTGTTTTGTCTTTCCTTGCTGAGGCACTCAAGAAGTAACATTCGCTTTTTCTTCTTGTTTCTCCACTAGAATTTTACTATTTCAAATGAGTTCTGATCCTTGTGTGTGTTTCTGTGGTTCTTGAAAGAATATTTTTGTTCTAGCTGGATTTCACCATATTAGTATCTTAATGTTTTCTTTGATTGGAATGTGAATGAAGGCTGTCTTGATATGTTGAAATGAGTGGGCACTGGTATTGGGTATAAAGTGAAGTAAATGGCAAAAAAGGCAGGACTGCTGCATTCTTTAAGACTTGTATTTAGGAAGGCATGAGTAAATCTAGACTAATTTGAGTGCCTGCCTAACATTTTGAGGAGGAATATAAGGAGAGAAACTGCATTCTTGGTGTATGTTTCAGTTGGTATCTTGAGTGGCACCACATGAAACTTAGCGTGAAACTATCTGTGATTTCTCAGAGGTACTCTAGGAAGTGGGAAGTGTTTAGTTTGATGTTTTTTCCTTCCATCATTGCTGCAATAAAAGTGTGGTCAGCAAGAAGTAATGAGAATTGTTCTTAATCTCCATGTAGCGAGCTAAATATCCATCCATTGTGAATTCAAAGAAGCTTAGAAGATTAGTTACTCTGAAGTGCTTTTTCAATTTTTTTATTTTTTTTTATGATGAGGGAGGGAGGAAGATATGTTTCCTTCTTCTTTATATTAATTATGATTTGTATGTAGTGGGAGTACACTTTTTTTCCCTTCTGGGAAAAGCTTTAAGTGACTTCCTGTGGTGGCCTTAGTTATTTTACCCTAAGGGAAGGTGTTTCTCTTTAGGGTATTATTGGAAGGAAAGGGTTAGATTTTTCCCCCCAAATCAGGGATGAAAGCAAAATAAATAATCTCTCATAATAATTTGTTAGATTGCTATCATCCTGTTGGAGAGCACATGTTCTGCTTAATAGATAAGAAAACAGGTGTGCCTTCCTCACTTCTATGTTTTGGGGGAAAGTGGTAGCTGTTTTAGTAAATTTCTGAATGTTTAACTTGCATATCCTGAAAAATATAATTATGATTACTTTGCTTAAAAGGTAGGAAAAAAGGTAAAAAGGGTAGAAAAAAAGAATTAATTAGGAAATCAGAAATATATTTACTTATATTGTTATTTTTCTAACAAGTCAGTGAGTACAGCTGTACTTAATAATATGCAAACGCCTTCCCAGTCAATACCATGCAAGTGATGAAATATTCTTTTTCTTTTAAGGCATTTTTCCGTGGATTTGTTGAGAGACAGAAATACCTTCAGTGCAGGTTTTCTGCTGTATTAATACAGCAGCACTACAGAGCCCATCAGATGCGAAATATTGAACAACAAAGATACCGTCAAATGAAAAGAGCTGCCATTAGGATTCAGGTAATCCCATAAGGTGGTTTTTGTTGGGTGTTTGTTTTTTTTTTTTAATCTCTCTTATATTTGTGTCTTCATGACATAATTATTTTTATAGACATTCAAGAGAGTGGCATCTGTGGTGTTTCCCTGATGTGTTTTACTTGCTTTAGAAAACATCTTCTGGACGTGAGAAATTAAGTATTTGTAATACTGTAGAGATAGGCATCCTAAAAGCCTTTCATGCTAATGTGACTTTTTTCCTTTTAATTTTGTTTGTTCCATTAAACAAAATAAAAAATCAAGTTTTGAATTTTATTTCCTTTTCATATATTTAATAGGCATCATATAGAGGATATAAAGCCAGGCAGTGGGTTAACAAAATGAGAGCAGCACAAGTAATTCAAGCCTGGTTTCGAGGCTGCAGAGCACGGAAGGAATATGCATCTGTGGTAAAAGCTATATGTGTTATCCAGAGACACTTCAAAACAAAACAACAGCGGGCCCGGTAATACTGAATTTGATATAAATTTCTCAGCTTTTCAAAGTTTTTATTGTATAATTATTTAGTACTGTTTTGCACTCTGGCAAATGCCTATAGATTATCAGGCTCTGACCCTGCATCGTGTATGTAATGTACATGAATATAATCCTGTTGATGCAGGTAGGATTATTCTGCACAAGATTTTTCTTATGTTTAAATATTTTTTTTTGGACTGGAAGCTACCTCACAAACTTAAATTTTGCATATTGGGGTTCTAGAAAGAGTAGGCCTTGATCTTTTTTCACTTATCATTCTTTTTTCACAGGAAGGCTATTCTGGATATTGTTAAAATTCCAGTATAAAACTAATAGCTATAACAAAAAGCTATTTCATTATAATGCATAATGAAATAGTTAAACTAGTTTGTGTTTATTTTGCTGTGAGGCGGTTTTACAATAAATACTCTACTAGATCAGCCTGATAACTCATCTCACTCAGAGCTGTGTCCTCTGCCAATAGCATTGGAAGATGCTGTTTAAGGAGAGTATGTTAACTTGACCACTTCCTAAGGTCCTCTCTCAGCATCCATGCTTGTTAGATTATGGATGCTAGAACTTACATCCTTGCCTATTGCCTTCATTATCCTTTTATGGGCCTGTTGTATGTCAATCTGTTTAATGCAGTTTAAACTGCTGTCTTCCTCCCCAACCTCCTTTTGGCAGCAAGTTCTGGAAGTACCTACTGTGGGAAAACAGAAACCATCTTCTATTTTAAAATAGTCCTTCTGCCAACATTGCTGGCTATCCCCTTGTTCTAGTGTTCCAAGATTTGCTTGATAACAGCTCTGCTTTCACAATATCTGTCTTAATAATTTTGTAAACCGTAATGCAAGTGTCCTTAACTTTCGGAAAAAAGCAAAGATGCATTTTCATGTTAGGTTTTTAAAAATGAAGATCTGTGCACTTACCATTCAAAGAAGATGGAGAGCAACCCTTACTGCACGAATGATTCAACATCAGTTTCTGGCAACTAAGAATGCTGCACTTAAGATTCAGTTGGCATATAGACAGTACAGGGCTAGAAGACACTTAAAGGTATGTTTTCACTTGGACTCTGCTATGTCATGGTTGCTTCAAAAACTTTCAATGTATTTGAGTGATTTTTGTCATCAATATGCAGAAGTGTAGAAAAGAAAAAAGGTGGGGCTAGAACAAAGATTTTTCAAATCAAAACTGTTCAATCTACAAAATATTAAATTTCCTTTTTGCTTTGAGCAATGAGGTTGCGTCTTGTTTTCAAACAGTTCCAGTTGTTGAATTACGCCTGTCTATACTGATAAAATATTTATAGATTTTACAAGATATACAAGATAAAATGTAAAATTTTCTGCTGGCTTTATAGCTTACAAAGGATTAAGTTAAATTGCCCATATTTTGACCCCATTTAGGTAAGGGAAAAGACCTTCAAAATTGTCAAAGTGCATTTTTATATAGACTAGTAGCATGACTTTGCTTGTATTTCCTATTTTATTTTTGTCCTTTTTCTTATGATTGAAAAAAATCTAGAGCTACCATATAAATCTATATTGATCATGACAGGAACGAACAAAAGTTTAATTATCAATGCATTCTTTAAAATCTTTTTCAGAAGCTCCAAAGCTTCATGTTTGATCCAAAAAGCATACAGAGGTTTCAATGCAAGAAGGAAATTTGTTCAATAAAAAACTGCTACTGTAATTATCTGAAAACATCTGAGGGCTTGACAGGAAGGCAGGCTTCAATTTATGAAATACAACAAAACTAGAGGAGCTCTCATTAAACTGCAAGCACTTATATGGGCTTTAGTCAGAAAAAAGCATGGTATACTTCAAATTAAAACTATACTTTTGATGTAAAGTATTTCTAGAGCTGTTTTAGCATTAGTTCTGGCTGACAAGAAAAGGAAAACCTGATCACTTGTTGTTGAACCCAAATTCTTGTTGACTACTTTGAAAATTGTGTGGGTCAGAGTAGATCAAAATACAGTTTGACCCTTTTCTCACAATCCTTTAGTACTAAAATAGGTTGTCATTGTTGGTTGTGTTTTTAGCTTCTCTGATCTTTGTGGCTTACCTGTAACTGATACTTTTGCACACACACACTTACAATGAAACTGTTCTCTGCTATATATCAATGTTGTTGCTTACAGTCACTTCTCTGTGTTATTGTTTAGCTCAGAGACCCAGTACTGAAGAAAGGTAGCTTACTGTAGTTCTGAGGTAATGATTTCTGAGGTGATTCTTCAGCATCTAATAACATATTGCTATATACTGTGGTCTGCATAGATGGTCAGCTGTATCTGAGTATGAAAATTAATTATGTTCCCTGTTTTGTTTTCCTTCCACAGATTTTAGAACAAAAACAAAAGAAGAGACTACTTTATTTTACAGCAGCTGCATATCATCATATCTCTGCAATTAAAATTCAAAGGGCATATAGGATTCACCTCATCTTAAAACTTGCACAAAAGCAGATCTCGTCTGTTCTTCTAATACAGGTTAGTCTGATTAAGGATGAATGATTTTTTGTAACATAGTCTAATTTCTTTTCTGTCAGCTAAGCTGTAGCACTAAGACACCGTAGTTCCTTCACATGTGAAAATAAAGCTAAATTATGGGGACTCTGTTTTATTAAATAATGCTGCTTATAACCAGCTAAGTATAATAGAGTGGATCTCAACAGACTCTGGAGGCTTAAGGACTTTAAAGATGAGGATGGATGGGAAGGTTTGTTTCCTTCAGACCCTCAAGCTTGCTAAAAGAATCTGAGTGCTGTCTTAGCCTATTTCTTTACATGCTACTGGAAGTAGGAGAGATCAGACACGACAAACTGTAAGGCTCGTGAAATGAAGAGCATCCCCTTACACGAACAATCCCCTAGCATACAGTGATTTATGTGGTTGGGTGTTTCTAACCTGCCAGTGGTACCAGAGCCTGTCTAAGTTGCAGCATTTTTAATATAACCATGTTTTATTTCTCTAAAAGCAAGATCAAAAATCAGGTCTGTATTGCAGCACTGCTTAATAGGAAAAATTATCTTCAGGTCTCCAAACTGACCATTAGCTTAGTACCAATAACAGAAGGTCAGCATTAGATAAATGGAGAGGCTGAAACAGGAACCCTAAAATAGCTGTTCTCCAGTCAATTATGGTGTGGCAAACTTTGCTTTACTACTCCTCCATATATAGAAATCTGTTACCTCTTGCCATAAGTTACATTTTCCCCTTAAGGCAAGAGCAAATGGGTGGAAAAGGCTTTTTTTGCTCAGATCTGGCATACAGTACCCTGTCTCCCTTCTCTGTATATAGAGGGGAAGAAAAACAGAGCTGTGAAATGAGAAAAGCAAAGTGGTGGTTCTCCTTAAAAGCCAGCCAAGAGAAAGAAAACTCCTAGAATGGAGTAATGCCAGACACAAGTATAAATTGGGAGAGGAGTGGCTGGAAGAGCAGCCGTGCAGAAAGGGATCTGGGGGGCTGGCCGACAACAGACTCAATACGAATCAGCAGTGTGCCCTGGTAGCCAAGAGGGCAAACCACATGCTGGGGTGCATCAAACACAGTATAACCAGCCGGTCAAAAGAGGTGATTATCCCGCTGTATTCAGCAATGGTGCAGACTCACTTCAAGTATTGTATGCAGTTCTGGGCCCCGCAATTTAAGAAGGTGTTCAGATCCTTGAATGCATCCAGACAAGGGTAACAAAGCTGATGAAAGGGGTGGAGGGAATGTCTTATGAGGAGCAGTGAAGGACCTTGGTTTTATCTAGTTTGGAGAAAAGGAGGCTGAGGGTGATGTCATTGCTTTATGGCTTGCTGAGGAGAGGAAGTGGAGAGGGAGGTGCTGATCTCCTTCTTCCTGGTATCCAGCGATAGGATGCGTGGGAATGGTTCAAAGCGGTGCCAGGGGAGGTTTAGACTGAACATTATGAAGCATTTCTTTACCGAGAGGGTGGTCAAACACTGGAACAGGCTTCCTGGAGAGGTGGTCAATGCCCCAAGCCTGTTACTGTTTAAGAGGCATTTGGACAGTGCCCTTAATAACATGCTTTCTTTTTTGGTCAGCCCTGAAGTGGTCAAACAGTTGGACTTAGATGATCATTGGAGGTCCCTTCCAACTGAAAATATAATATAGTGTAGTATCGTATAATATAATATAAGGAATGCTTCCCTAACTGCTCCTAGTTAAGATTTCATTTTGCGGTCTTGCATTTCAGCTATCCCAAGGCCAATCAGAGCTGTGTCATGGTGGTTATATGGGTGCTAGTGATGTTTATAATGCCTGTATCTATCAAAGTTCATGTTAAAATAGATCTTCAGTTTTTATCAATGCTTGTTTAGGATAGGAAAAGGGAATTTAGGCAAAAGTCTTAAATAAATAAATAGAGAGGCACTTTAATTTTAAACAGAGATGGTTCCGAGCAAAAATGCAACAAAAGAGATTTCTAAGAGATTATCAAAGAATCATTCAATTACAACGTGTGATTCGAGGCTGGCTAAATCACAGAAATGATGCAGCAACCGTAATCCAGCGAAATGTACGAAGATTCCTTGCCTGCAGACGTAGGAGAAAATTTGCAGCTGGAATAATTAAATTTCAGGTAAATACCTCTTGTAAGAAAACTATGAATTTTTAAATTTTTTTTCTCTTCTGGGTTTTTAGAGAGAGGAAAGCTGTTTACTTTGGTTGGTGAATTTATGAGTTAAATTGCAAGCCAAGTCGTCTTCAATTTAGATATCAAAGCTAAATGCAAACAGATCATGAAGCAATATTAAGCAGATACCTGTTGAGGTGACGTGGGAGTGTGTGTGGAGTGTATATGCATGTTTGTTCTGGTAGTTTGTCTTGAAAATCCAGTATTGGGAAGATTAAACACTGAATGGTAATTGCTTTAATAACCAAGGTAATGAATATTTTGTCGGACTTGTGTAAAATTGCTTTGGAATGGTAATGGAACTTCTATTGTCTCTTGTTCACAACCTTTTTCTCTTTGTGAAATTCCTTTTCTGTAGGCATTGTGGAGAGGATATTCTTGGAGAAAGCATAATGATACAGCAAAAACCCAAGCTTTAAGATGTAGTTTGGCAAAGGCTAACGAAAAGAGCAGAGAAGAAAACAAATTGTGCAACAGAACTGCAATTGCTATTGAATACCTTCTAAAATACAAACATATCTCTTATATTCTTGCAGCATTAAAGCATCTGGGTCAGTATATTGTTTTATTATACTGATAGATTTCCAGGGTGATAGAACCTGGAATTTTTCAGCTGAGAAGATTTCATAACGATATTTAGGTTTTCTGTATGATTGTAAAATGTGAACTGTTAGAGAGTGGAGTGGAGGTTTTTTCCAGACTAAAATAAGATTATTGATTTAAGAACAATATTAAAATGGTTGTGTAGAAAAAGGAAATGCTATATGATTGTGGCATTCCTAGTAACACTATGCCTTACATAAGTCAATTATATTTACTATCAGTACATGTTGTCTGTGGATTGTTTTGTCTGCCAAATTTTTAGTCTGGAATATTAAAACTATTGTAATTGCTGGTTTTACTTCTTTGCACCTCTACTTAAAAATAAGAGAAAACCCTGATTTATAATTAAGTTGCTTGAGCTTCAGAGGGGGGTTTTTTCTTGTTGTTTTTTTTTCTTTAATTAATAGAGGTGGCTACCAGGCTGTCCCCGCTTTGTTGTGAAAATATGGCCCAGAGCAGAGCAATCTTCACTATTTTTGTTCTGATCCGAAGTTGCAACCGGAGTGTTCCATGCATGGATGTGATCAGATATTCAATTCAGGTTCTACTTAATGTTTCAAAGGTAACTAATATTATGCTTTTGCAGTGTTATAAGCTGTAGACTATCTTATTGTAGTATTTATTTATCCACACAATTTCTGGATATATTTGAAACAACAAAAGTAATAGTCTTGATAAAAAAACAGTTTCTGAATTTTAACTATGTTATTTTGAAACCAGTTATCTACTTTGTAATAATTATAATCTAATTTTCCTTTTGGCAAAAGAAAATTATTTCATGGGTTTAAAGTAGTAATACTTTCAACTGATTGCATTGTAAGGTATCCCAAGTATTTCATGAAACTGTGTAGAAATACAAAACTGTAGCAGTTAAGATAAGCTATGAAGTTGTTTTAAGGTAGAATTGTATATGTTCCAGGAGACAGGCCACATCCCATCAATTCCTATCATAGAATAGGCTATGTTTACACTTTTTTTATTTCTCACAGAAGGAATTATTTTCATAAATACTTAAGGCTGACTGTTCTAAAGTTTTTAACTTTGAAATTTAAAATATTTGCTAAACATACTTTTTGATCTTATATCCATCCTACAGGCATTTACATTGAAATTCTTTTATTTTTATTTCAGGAAAATAATTTAACATTTAGGCTAAACGTATTTTTAAATTCTCTACCTAAACTTAATCTAATCTATTTTTTTTTTAAACATAAAATCAGAGTCTATGGGTTTCTAAACAAGGGAGGAATCACAAAGGGTAGCTTTTTATAACCTGTTACAATGGTGTAACATATAGAAATTATATTTATTGCTTGGATGCCAGTTCAACTACAAATTTAATCTAAGGAGAACATGGATTTTGCTTTTTCCTCTAACCTCAAAGATATTTTAATGATTTGTCTATATAAGCTCTCTTGTCTCTTTCTTGTATGACAGTATGAAAGAACTACTCAAGCAGTTTATGAAGTAGAAAATTCTGTAGATACGTTACTAGACCTACTGCAGATGTACAGAGGGAAAGCTGGGGACAAAATTTCAGAGAAAGGAGGAAGCATTTTCACAAAGACCTGTTGTTTGTTGGCCATCCTTTCAAAGGATTCGAGAAGAGCTCTGGTAAGACTTAAATGTTTTGGGTTTAACAGTTTGATTTAACATGTTTTTCTTGCATGTTTTGGTGGTGTTTGTAACTGGTGTTTTTTTTCCCCTATCCCTCTCTATTATGGATGTAATATTAATTATGACTAAACTCTGATTAAAAAAAAATGCATTTTCAAGATGGCGAAAACACTCATTATTTTGTGCTTTGTATGCCCTGGTCAGCCAGAGCTATTCAATAACACATTGAAGTTCTGATCCTGCAGTCCTTGCAAGATTATGATATTGCAATCCCTAGTTTCCACAGTGTTTGATGACTTACTATCAATTGTGTAGTGTTAGATATAGTTTAGTTGCCACTTAATTAACTTTTATTCCATTTCTGAAAGTTCACTGTTGCCTTTCAGATAAAGTTAAGGTCTTTATTGTCAGTAACAACGGGCAATATAATTGTCCATGACTTTGTGTTGATATACTCTATTGTACAGAGATATAGCCTGCTTCTGAAAGAAATTTCCTTTTTTCATGCCTGTTGCTAGACTCTCTAATAAGGTTATTAGGGTAGTTTGAGTTCTGTGCTATACATTTACTAACTGTTTATCCATCAGATATAAGTTAACCAGTCACCTCTGACCATTGCATTATTCTTTCATTGCTATAAAGACAGGTATCAACACTAATTTGTCTCTCTGTACCAATCGTTGAAGACATATGCCAATGACATATGTGAAAATTGGTTTTAATGAGAAATTAGTAAAATCTGACTTGTAAGAGCTTGAATTTTCTGAGATCTCAGGGCGTATACTAGTTGTGAAGTATTTTGAAAGCATTACACCACTGGCCTGTAGGTGTGCTGGCTTTAAAATGGTGTCACTGTACTTGTGGGTAGAACTTCAGCTTAAATTATAAACATTCAGTTTTCATTGAATAAAACAGATTTCTTGATTTGTTAAGTTGCTTTCGAACTTGTAGTATTAACTGTGTACTGTTTTCACCTTTTCTCAGGAAATCCGAAGCATACCGAGAGCGGTTACTTGCATTCAAAGCTTGTATAAACTTACAGCTCGTAAACACAAAATGGATGCAGAGAGAACACTTGTAAAGCAGAAAACAAACACTTTCTTAAGTGGAACTTCCTTCATTCCAGTAACTCCTCTAAGAATAAAAACAGTTTCAAGGTAAGAGCTTAAAAATTAGTCTGCTATTTTTGCTGTGGCAATACAATATTTTAATGACAAGCCACTAATATTTTTGCAGACTTAAGCCAGACTGGGTTTTGAGGAAAGATAACATGCAAGAAATTGTGGATCCTTTGCAAGCAATTCTGATGGTGGTGGATACACTCGGTATTGCCTGCTACTGAAATGTAAATGATGTATATGAAAATGTATTTGTACAGCATGTATGTAGTAGACAGCTCAATGATTTTGAAAGAAGGCGAATAAGTGTCAAGCTACCCTTGAGAATGTTCTTTTCAAATTGCAATTAACATTTCTGTAACTTTTTTGCATTGTATACAGCTTTTGAAATCCTATTTTGTACTACTACCAAAAGCAATTGTACAATAAAATCATTAAGCCCTGGAAATTTCACTAGTGCGGTAATGTATTGTTATTACACAACCATGAATCTTGCAAATAGTATGGTGTTCTGATTAAATATTGTCAAATTCTGTTAAAAACAGTTGTTTGTGTGGGTCAGTTGTGTTGGCTTGTCTGATCTGGAAGGGTATAGGTAGGAAGGGAAGCATAGTCTGTCGGTTTCAAAGGTGACTACTGTTTTGAGGGAGCCTGAGTTTACTGTCTAATAAGGTTTTGATGGATAACGTGTGTCTCTGTAGGAAAAAAAATTATAATTTTTTTTTTTTTTTTTAAACACTACAGTGGATGGAACAACGGGATGTTGTAATTTTTTTTGGATGTAATTGGATTTGTATCCAAATTGGATCTGGATGTAATTTGGATGCTGTAATGTTGTAATTCCATTATGATGGAACAATGGGATGTTGTAAGGGTGAATTTAGAAATTCTGACCTGATATTTTAAGGGAGACAATTTGTGAGTGCTTTCTTCCTATCAAGTGAGCAGTACACACAAGCATGCATCTCATCTGACTGAATAGATAGTGTTCATCACAGCATCTTTCTCTGAAATACTGTTCTCTTGTGCCTTGGAATTGCATTTTCTTAGAGCACAGCCAAGAAAATGAAAACTGTAAAGTTATACCCTTGCACTCACAGATTCAAAGATTATGCCTCCGAAGGGTGGAATGTGATGATAAATCAACTGGTAGCTATTAGTCAGTTAGGTGATAATGCATTGTAAATGAGGTTCTATTTTTTTTAATTTTTGTTTGTTTAAAAAAAGACTCAAGCGGGGCTAGCTGTATACAACAAAACCCCAACAGACAGCTAATAGTAGTGGTTATGTTCTTAATGTAAGAATCTCCAGAATGAATAATATATAGAATGGAACTGAGTGGTTATATGGGGGTAGGCTCGAGGAGGGGGGGATTTTGTATTTCCTCTTATTTTAGCCAAGGTAAATAACTGATAACAGCCTGCCCTTTAAACTTGGAACTCAGGAGGTTCTGAGGGGGAACAGTGTTAAATTAGTTTAAATTGTTCCACAAGCTTCTTGCCTGGTTTCACTGTAAAACGATAAATTCTATCCTCTTTACTGATGTAAAGTATGCCAAAAGGAAGTAGAATTTTGCAAGTCCAGGGTATTTAGAGAACTAAAATAAATGAAAGTAGCGTTTTCAGTGAAATAACTTGTTACAAAATACCATTGACACTAAGGCATTTGTGAATACCTTTGAAAATCCAGTTAATTATTTACAAAAGTAATACTGAGGGAGTTTTCACAGGTGGTAGAAACTGTTGATGGAGACAGTAATGAAGATGAGATTTAAGAGCTGTTTTTTCTTCCTAGTTATGATGTATTCAGGCAAACTCTTTGCAGAAGGTAAATACACTGAATTCTATTGTTAATAAATGTACATAGAATCTAGAACATGCAGTCTAGGTAACTTGAGTGAAATATTTTTTTGTATCTTTACCAAGAGTAAACACTGCTTTTTTTATATATAATTTTGTTGTGAGATGGCTGATGATCATGATTCACTTGTCGCTGTAGCTCAGGGCTACGGGTTTTTATCTAAGCTTCAAAGCTGTAATATTGACTTTTATTCAGAAAAAGTTTCTTTTGAAGTGTATTTGAGTGATTTTGAGGCACTTACACAAATTGAATTTTGTACTATTAAAACATTTTATATATTGAAGTGTCTTGGTTATTGAAGTGTTTTGGTTTTACCACGAAGCAAAAGAGTGGAAGTCAAACGGGACCTGCATAAGCTAGTCTGGAGTGGTTCTGCATTTCCTATCCCTATTTTCACCTTTGCTTGAAATTCCTGGGTTTATGTAGTTTACATACCCCTTGAACTGCAAGTTCACAAAGCTGTGGACTGTATATGAGGGTACACCTCCATTAATTGAAAACGCGTCCCTCTTTTTGCATTTAATTTTGTATCTGCTAATGTATATTTAACTCCAGCATATTTGTTGCAACTGCCTCTGTCTTCACTAGAGTTTTGTCCTTATGAAAAGCTGTTGAAATTACACTGATACCCTTTGGAAGGTCAAACAAAAGGTATGTAGGTAGCAATCCTTTTTGTCTTTTAATTACTTAAGTCGTGATGACCTTCAGGTTTGTTTGTTTTTTACTTATTTAGATGTGATACAGTGGCTGTGTGAGGAAGGGAATTATTAAAAAAATTATCTTGGCACTTTCTATTTGGTAAAAAATACTACATTTCCAGAAAACTCTAGTAAATGCAGTAAATACTAGTGGTGTTACTGAGTGAAGGAGCAGTAGTTTGTTATTTTGGTTCTGCTATGCATAGGGTGAATGCAGCAGTGACAACTTGTGAGAAAATTCTGTCCAGTTATAATGAGATTCGTAGGTGGTGATTCAGTTTTTAAAACTTGATTCTTCAAGTTAGGTTGCCTTGTAATTCCGTGGAGAGGATTTTTGAGACCCAAAGGATGATTTTTGTAAGAAATCCAAGTATTGCTTTTCGGTTGGTTTTTGTTTGGGTTTTTTTTTTTTTTTTACTAACTTAATGTCATATTTGGCACAATTCCTTTTAAATGTTTCCTCCTACTACTGGTTTGTGTGGGTTTGGGTTTTTTTAATTGTAGTAGTTCTTGTTCTTTCCTTAACCTCCATCTCATCTTTCTTTTACATTGGCTCTGTTCTTAAATTTCCTTTCTTCAACAAGTTTAAATATATATTGCCTCCTGTCAGTTTGTCATATTGTTCTGATAACATCTGCTGAGTTGAGGAGCTATGGTATAGCTCATCTTGACATTATTGCCACTGGATTTTAGAGCAGGCATTAGTATGTTTATGCAGCAAACGGTGCTCATGCTTACATCTTCTAGGCTAAATAAAGAGTCAGATAAATGTGTCCTGCATCACTTTTGCCCAGTTCACATTAGGAAGTTTTATTCTACAGTTGCTATTCCTGTGAACCTAAAGAACAAAAGCTGATATAATTGTAATATATCTTAATTTCACTGAGCCTTACAAGATCCTTCCTGCTTGTAAGTATTCAGAATTTCATTCACCTTGTTTGAAGGCCTGAATCAATCCGACGGATATTAAACAAACTAATGCAAAAAAGTTCATATCTGGGCTGAGACTTTTAGTGAGAAATATATTTATCTTTTTGCAGATAAACCTTGTGATTTGCCCCATATAGAAAATGGAAAGATTGCCCAGTACTATTATAATTTCAGAAGTTACTATTTCCCTATGCGTAAGGAAAAAAAACTTTCCTATTCTTGTATGGTGGGTTATACAACTGAAACTGGGACTCAAGATGGAAGAATAACTTGTACAGCAAAAGGATGGTCTCCAGTGCCACAATGCTACAGTGAGTTAGCGTTATTAATCTCATCATTGCTTCTAGCAGGCAACTTTTCTAGCTGGATTTCCTGGAACATACAGGAACAGAAGCTGCAGAGCAGGAGGGTGAAAATGTGTAAGACAACAAGGTGAAATTAATCCTTTTTGTATCCAAACTACATATATTTATCTATGGAATATTTTTACAATAATACATATTTTAAAGACTTTTACCATATATGTTTTTATAGGAACACCAAGAAAATTGCCCAGTTTCCTTGTTTTGGGAAAACTAATAGATAATTTCCCCTTAGATACGAATCCTCTAGATCCCTTGGTTGTTGTGTTCCATGTTATTACCATTGGTTTGATGTATTGTTTGACGATTTTGGTAGAGTTTCTTCAACTCAAGAAAAAGAAATTAGATCAAGATAGCTAAAAACCCCCTCCTTCTGCTTATCAGAGACCAGAAATATTCCATTAATTCTTTCTAACCAAGCTGCCTCCTTTCATTTAGAAAAATGTAACAAGCCTCTTTTGGAAAATGGCACTTTTTATGGTACAGAAATGTACTTCAAAGTACATGAGAAACTGCAGTACAAATGTAACCCAGGCTACCACGCTCCAAGCGGCGGTACTGAAGATACAGTACAATGTCAGCCAGAAGGATGGTCTTCCCAGCCAAGCTGTACTAAAAAATTTGGTAGGGTTCTGCTTTTTTCTCCTTTATCATCTGTCTTATGTATGTAATTCTACTGTCCTTGCTGTACCTTGTAGGGCCAAACTGCTGATGTCAAGTTATCATTTGAGTACTCCTAAAGTAGGTTCTCAGCTGTACCTCATGGGAAGAAGTTGTCAGATTTCACATGCCGCTAGTTTTGTGAATTTGTTTAGGTAAAATATAGATGAAAATGTACAAGTGTAGATGATGTATAAGAAAATATAAAAGTATAGATGAAATTGTTTCAAATAAACCCATTGCCATCCAAACTTTCTTCCCAAATGACAAGTGGAAAACTTGTGTAAGCTACTGCATTTTTAATTATTCATTATTTGCCAAGATTTTGCCTTGTATATCACCAATTTTAAGGTCTACCTAATGAAAATTTTAGATTAATAACTTGAAATGTTATTAATCTAAAAGAGCAAGTAATAATACGCATATGCTTTATTTATTTAAGAGTCATGTCACGTACCCAATTTACATCATGGCAGCTACTTCACAGCCCAACAAGAGCTTCGACTGAATGAAACACTGCTATACAAATGTGATGAGGGATATCATACTGCAGGAGGAAACACTACAGAAGCAGCAGTGTGTCTAACACGTGGGTGGTCCCTTACTCCAAACTGCACTAGTATGTAATGGCCTGGAAAATAATTCTGTTTGAAATGTGATTTATTCTACAAATGAACAAAAATTTGCAAAAAGGCTTGTTCATAAGGGGAGAGGGAGCATTCCTCAACTGGTTTTTACTGCTGTTTGTTTTCTTCCTAGAAATAACTTGCTCCTCTTTGAGTGCAATAGCACATGGAGGTTTCTATCCAGTGAAGAAAATCTATGAAGAGGGAGATGTAGTTCACTTTTTCTGTGAGGAAAATTATTCTGTCAGTGAATTTGACCTAATTCAATGTTATTATTTCGGATGGCACCCAGATCCTCCAGTGTGTGAAGGTACCTTATTTTTATAGTTTTACTATGTCAAATTCTTAGTGAAAGACTAGCACCTTTCATGAAATGCTTTATGAACACAAAATAAAAATATGCTTGTTATACCAGTTCACAGCCTAAATAAAAATCAAGTGTTAGCTGAAGGGCATGGAGCCAAGGTAGCAGGGAGGGAGGCAAGGATAATTGGAATAAGTTTTCAGTGGACTCTAACAATAGAGCAAGTACTGTCTCTTGCTGTTGTTTCTCTGTACGTTGTATTGTGGAGAAGCAGGAGTCAACAATCATAGGGAAGTTGTTCAGCCCCTGAAGCTCAAGTTAAACCATGTTCAGATTACATGAAGGTTTAATCAAGCATATTTAATCCTGCCTTGCAAGGTGGGGACAGGCCTCTTGAGAGGCATTAAAAATAAAATTTGTAACAAGTTCCTCCTGAGCTTGGGGATTGTGGTACTTTTCAGAGTTTTACAGCCTCACCGAACCATACATGTTTTCAACAGAATTAACTAGAAAGGTAATCCTGAGGACAGAAACACACCTTTAGCAATTACTATCACTTCCCCAATCATTGGGGGATAACCAAGATTCTCAGAAAAGAAACTTTCCAAAGATTGAAAGGTCTAGTGAACCAGATGAGATTTAGTATACAGCAGAAAACAGTACAAATCAACTTTTAGGCTAGCTGAGCATTTATAGTATTGTTAACATACTTTGATAGTTGCGTGTCATTGTCTTATCTGGATATTGTCCCCTTTATGAGGATTACTTCTGTATTTAACATTTTAAAAATATAGATGCGTTAAGCACAGTTTGCAGTAAAAGTGTCTTGCAATTCCTTTATAGCTAATCTTGTAAAAGATTATATGATTGAGTACAAAGATTAAATTCATCTTCCTTTCCTAGAAGACATAGTAGCATTTAAAATGAACTAGAATCTCTCAATTAAATGGCATGTGTTAGGACCCCAGCCCTGTATTTATTCTGATAACACAGCAGGATTTTTTCTTGAGTAAGTGCAGAGAAGGTAGGATGCTCAGGAGAATGAAAAAAAGACCTAAATCTAGTTTTGAGGATACAGTAATTGCAAACTTAATTTGACGATAGGTAACGTGCTGTGATTACTGCTGCTTCTGTAGCATTAGAATTAATACATAAGCTGCTTTAAATATTATATCAATGGATGGTATGGAAAATCTCTATTTCCTGAAATCCTTTAAAGAACATTTTAAATGTATGTGGAGAAATTACAAATTTGTTTATAGCAGTGCAATAGCATAATACCTCTATTTTATATTTGTTGAATGTAAAATCGCTTTTCTGTTCTGGTCTACAATTTTGTTAAGAAAATGGGAGTAAGCAATTACTCTGGATCAACCAAAAATGTCTTTTGAGTGATAGGCTTGCATGCTGCATAGTAAAATCAGTTGTGTACATGGTTTTGATTAGTGAGAAAACAATATGTATTTTGTATTTTCAGATGTAAAAAATAAATGTCCTTCACCACCGCTTCCTCCTAATGCCCATATCATCACAGTTAGAAGAACATACCATAATGGAGACAAAGTTCGTATACAATGTCAAAATACCTTTGAAATGAGAGGATCTCGAGAAATCCAGTGTGAAAAAGGAAAATGGACATCACCCCCTATTTGTGTTGGTTAGTACTTTTGTGAAGACAGACAACTGAACAGAAATGCTTTAATTTTCTAGAGAGCCTCAGTTTCCATATCTACAAAACTGTCCTCTGTTAAAATGCTTGAGAGGTGAAGCACTGCATAATTTGCAGGCAATTCATAGTTCACAGATTTAAAGAGAAAGGAATGAGCTAGGTGAATTCAACTGACATCTGTGTTGTGTAGTTGTCCCCTGGAATACTTGATTTTATTACATTTTACAATGCATCAGTGTCTGTCTGTTTTGTATGTGAAAATGAATTATTTCTGAGAAAACTGGTTCTAAGTTTCTGCTCTGGTTATAGGAGCTATGGATAAATGGGAATCTGAGGCACCACCATCACTCGGGGCAGATGCAGCAGTAAGGGCGAGCAAAACATATCACAATGAAGATATGAGTAGGTGAACATTGCTTTTCTATTTAAAAGGGCCTTCAATACTCTCCAATGCTATTATAGGCATTTTGTGACTACTCTTACTGCTCTTTTGCTGTTTTACAGTTCCTTACTGTTGAAAACGCTTGCATGTGCTACAGATGTCAATGTAGCAGTCTGAATGAATGAAAGGCCATTGTTACTTGTTTCTAGTCATTATAAACTAAGTCTATAAGCCTGTTCGGTATTTGTAATTTTATTTTGTACGTTAGCATTTACCTTCAGTCATCTTGTACCCTTTCTGTTAATGTTGTCTGAACATGCAAATTCAGGAGAATTTTGCTGATCCTTTGATTAATAGTTCCAGTGAAGTTTCTTTTGTTTATTTTGAACCGCACATGGGCTAAACATTTCAAGCAGCAAATAAAGACAGTCTCATCACAAAAAAAGAACTAATCTATATTGAGTGTAAACCAGCAAGAATCAAGAACAGACATAGATGAAGAGTGTAGAGGGAAATAGAACGCCTGTCTGCAATTCAGTAAGGCAAGCGTAGAGTTTCCGAAAGTGACATTTGAAAAAGAAATTATATTGGTTTCCATTTTAGTTGTATAAATTTTTTGTTCAGTCTGTTGCTAGTCTGATGCTTTCACCAGTGTTAACATTGTTTTAAAGATCTAATTACCTATTCTAGACCTCGTATTAGAAATGCAGCAAAACTGTACCTCTCCACCTGTGATTAAAAATGGTGTTGTTCTCGGTCCATTATTGACAAGTTACAAAAATGGTTCCTCAGTAGAATACGGTTGTCAGCATTACCATTTTTTGGATGGACCTAGTACTGTTTACTGCGAACAAGGAAACTGGACAGAACCACCAACTTGCTTAGGTAAGTCTTGTAACAAAAAGAAAACTTTGTCATATGTAATATAGAAAGGTAAAACTGGGAAGAGCCTCTAGATAATCCTTTCATGACCACCTTTTCTCTTTCATTTGAGTTAATAAAGATTCCAGAAATATGAGGATGAACCAAAATCAAATATACCTAGGCCAATCCTGCTGGGTGTCCTCTGGCAGGAGGACAAATACCTTCTTCCAAATACTCAATTAAACATATTCCTCTGTTTTCCTGAGTGAGCTATGCTAGAAAATAACTATCCCTGTATCTCTAGTTTCTTTCTCCTATATTCTCCGTTTAATGAATTCCTGTCCTTCAGTAGGTGTTTAGAAAGAATGACTGCAGCCATTGCCAAAGTGGGCTTTTAGATATGATTCACAAGGAATACAATGGACTTTCATTTTTAAACCTTCAGCCTTTTTTTTTAATTATGTGTCTTTGTATCTGTCATTTCATTCTGGACTTCTGATTTTTCTGCGTTGCTCTTATGTATGCTGTTTAAAACAATCTACAGGAGTTGTTTCTTTATCTTTCCTTCCTTCCTGTAATGAAATAATTCTACTTTGCTATTATCCTTTGTTAAATTGACTCACTTTAAGTTTGTAATTTACTGTGAAAATGCAAATAAATAACCAGTTTTAATTACTTATTTCTAAATGAATAAAATGTACCTTGTCTGGATTGAAAGGTCCAGATCAGCATTCTTGGCTCTGAATACTCAAATTTAACAAACCCTGTGAAATAATGAAAACTCATTTCCTACGAGTGTTATTTGTCTCTTCAGCATCCAAATAACCACATCATCCTTTCCATGTTTTCTGGGATTACTTTTCAGCCCTCACCTAATCAAACCAGAAAGAGCACATACTGTACTTTGGGGAAAATATCCATGCCAGTGTGTTGTTACGGTGCTGTCATCAAAATGCATAGTAACTGATTTATCCTTGCCTTTCCCTCAGCAAAGCATTAATAAGGGCCTCTATCAGGCAATGATTCTGGTGGAACTTGGAGAAATTTCTTTTTATAACTGTCCCTCTGTCAGGCTTTATTGAGGTTGAACAATGGTTTCAAAAGTTAATAAGGTTAACTGTCTAATGGAAGGCTAGGCTACCTGATGTGATCCTGGCACTAAATTTTAAGAAACCTGTTAGAAAGCAACCAAAACAATATTGACTTTGAATAACCTGAAAAAGCCCAAAGAAGAACGCAAAACTTCCAAAGGTTTTTGGAAGACATCTAAATCTTTTAACAGTGATAAACAAAGATAAAAAAAGAAAAAGCAAAGAGAGAGACCTGTCAAAACACTTCCTTAGGTTAACGGTTTAAATTTATTGTGCATTAACTACTACTGTTCTCAAAGGGCTAGCAAAATCTGACAGGTTAATTTTGATGGATGACTATTTTCATTAAAGAGTCCTTTCAAGTTACAGTAAAGTTCTTTAATGGTAAACCCAGCTGCCCTATGTTTACAAATACTTGTAGAAACCAGATTTTGTCACAATTGTGATTTCTGTGATTTACTGTTCCCAGTTTAGGCTTTGTTGGCGTATTATTTCTGTTACTTCAGCCTATTTCTTTACATTTGCATTCTTTTTTTAATGCATCTATAGTTCTTTTTCTTGCAAGATTCGAAAACATTTTAGAACTATTGATTTGAATTTCTTTTTCTTGACTCCTACGAAAGCAACCTAAGAAATCACTTAAGGTTGCTTTTTATTGAAGCATGTTCTTATTTCCTAGAACCGTGCATTCTTAACGTAACTGATATGAACAGCAACAACATAGAGTTGAAATGGAGACAGCAAGAATTAATTTTCCTACATGGTGATCTCATAGAGTTTGAATGTAAACAGGGGTACAGTTTTCTCCAGACTACCATTCTATCTCCTGGGAGGACACACTGTAACCGTGGCAGGCTGAAATATCCAAAATGCATTATGCAAGGTAAAAGAATACTTTTTAATTGCCTTTTTAATTAATCAATCTCAGACCTATTTAGAAACAATTTTCTTTGGCAGTGCAGGCCAAATCCTAAACTTCTATTATGTGTAATGCAGATATACACATATATCCTTGCACAAGACAGCTATATTGTTAAATAAATCCAAGCATGGAAAACCAATACACCTTCCTTTGATGGGAAGGGCTGTAGAAATGAGGGAGGAGATGTTCTCCAAGCCCAGGGAACTCAAAGCTCTGTAGAAAGACAGCTGTAAACAATTAAATGCACACAAAGGATTTCTTATTAACAATAAGAATTAAGCAGGAGATTGCATTCTGATCTGAGACATAATGAAATAGTAAGAAAATACACTATCTGAGAGTTGATAGATATCTAGTGCTGACAGGTATTTAAAGCTGCTGATTTGTTAGTTTCTTAAGCGGAATGTTTCTCAAATGTTTTTAACATTATTCCAGATCCTACAGGAAAATGTGACTCTCCACCTCCTATTGCAAATGGAGCTTTTACTCTCCCACCCCTGACCCAGTATGACAGTGGTTCTTCAGTTCAGTATAGTTGCTCTGACTATCATTTTTTGCAAGGATCTGAGAGAATCTACTGTTCTGAAGGACAGTGGACTTCGCCACCAGTTTGTATAGGTAGGTGTGATAAGATAAATACGCACTTATTTCTCTCTATAATTCAGATACTTAGAATTTATAAATTGAGTATTGACAACTAGAAATTTAAGATCTCAAGTTTTTTCAGCTAGAGATGCAAGTTTTAATAGAAGCAAGTGTAAGCTTGTCTGGCTTTTTGTTTTCTTAAATATGAAATGCCTGCAGTATCCAAGACTACACTGATTTCACGTATAGTATATTAAGGGAATGGGAAATAATCTACAAGTTTAGTGTAGGCTAGTCAAAACAATATGATTTCAAAAATAATCGATTTATTAACACTGATTATGTCTCTCCTCTTTAGAGCCATGTACTTTGTCAAAAAATGAAATGGAAAAAAATAACGTGTTGCTGCAAAGATTCTATGAGAATCAAGTTTACTTTTACCATGGGGATTATGTTGGATTTTACTGTAAACAGAACCATTTTGGAGCAGAATCTGGTACAACTTTATTTCAAGTGCAGTGTAAGAGGGGACAGCTGATGTATCCAAGATGTGTTGAAAGAGGAAAATAAATATGGACTTCAGGAAAGCCTATAGGAAAGGTACGTGCATGTTCTTTATCTAGTATTAACAGCTGAATTAAGATGGCCTCATATTTTCAAGATCACTACAGTCAGCTTTGAAAAATGAGCGTTCAGTGGCATTGTTGGGTCTGAGCTGAAGGGGGAGGGAAGTGAAAGTGCTTTGTGCTATGAGGGCTGGGAATGCAGCAGGGGAATGCAGCAGAAGAATGCAATATTGACATACGTGTGGAAAATTTAGGATGAAGGAGTTTTGTAAGGCTTACAGTGATAAATTGGAGGATACATCACAATCTGGAGGACTTGAGCAAAGCGCCACAATGAGAAGATGCTGATCAAGTAGTGCCCTTTGAGGATATTGGTGGTTTTGACAGCACGAGTGCTTTTGTGACTACAGAATATGGCTAAACTGATAGTTTCATGCCCTTCAAATGGATGTTAAGCTGTAATTTTACAGAGTGAAAGGAGATGCCTATTTTTTCTTTGTACATCTTAACAGCACCCATATCTTCTTTCACAGGTAAGAGGCCTCTCTAAAGGACAAGGCTTGAGGGACAAGGAAAAAAAGCAAGTATTCAAAAAAAAAAAAAGGTTGTACTTAATGGATCTATGAAACCATTTTAAAACTAAAAATATGCAAATTCTATTCAGTAGTTAATTATTATTATTTTTTTCAAAAAAATCAAACAAGCATCTTTATTTTGCTGATTGAGAGCATTTAAACTATTAAAATATCTGTCCACTTTGTATGATTTCCTATGCCACCAAGATTGGTACTGTTGGGGCTCTGCCTTTGAACATGTTGTGTGACTGAAGATATGAAGAAAACTCGGGAATATAGAGAATGTTTGCCTCGCATCCATTTTAGTATGCTTTAGTAAAAAAGTCACTGTAAGGGTGTCTTCTGTATTTTACCTCTAAACTCTGTATTTCTATGATATCATTGCATGTATGCTGTTCTGTATGGTTTTCCAAGGCTTTTGAGGGTGCTGCATGACTAAATAAAACAACAAAGAAATTAAAGCATTCAAGAAATAGAGAAATTCTGCTTATTTAATCAAAACCAGTCAACTATAGTTGGGAAAAAAGGTTGATAAAAATAGCATTTACATGTTATTTACAATAGCATTCCAAAATATTTTCAAAAGATTAAAACGTTGTTGCTTTGTAAAGCGGTATTTAAAAATGAGGACAAATAATAATGAGATTTAGCAGTTTAATATAAAGAAGTTTTGATGTGTGACATGTAGATCTGAACTAATAGCTTTTATTTCTAGTTCATGTTCTGAACAACAATTGTAATGTAGATTGGTGAGTCTCAGTTAAGAAATAGTGTGAGAACTCAGTTAATGATTGGTGATAAGTTTTTTTTAAATGAGTAAAATTTGGTTTATTGAGCACTGCTACCTTAATAGCTGCCATCTAGTCTTGGTATGCATCCAGAAACTATCTGTGCTGAGGCCAAAATACATAGAAATTAATTTCAGTCTCTGAGTTATTACATCTTAATCATTCCTGTGTCTATCAAAGATAGAAGAAAAACTCTTTTTTCCTTGAACATGAAGGGTGTTTACATGATGGACTAGAATTGTAAGCAAAATCTTGCAAGGCAACTAGTACATCCGTGACCATACCGGTAATACCACACAAGGTCAGCTTTCCCTAGGTATCAGAAAAATCAAATAGATGTCACCAAACTGGGATGAATAGCGAAAAAGTAATTCAAGGCAGATTGTTTATTTGGGTGGAGAAAGGGAAGTACAAGCACGGTGAAAAGAGAATCAATAACCAAGAGAAAGGGTAATATATCTGTATATGATATAATTGAGACTTTCCAGGGATACCAGTCAAGCAGCTCTGCACTTGATCACCTTAGTTCATATCAGGCCAAAACCCCAAATCTAGTCTTGACCATACCACAGAGATCAAACCCGTTTCCATGGTATGGAAGAACCATGGGGAGGGAGGGCACATTCTCTGGCTATCAGGGAGAAACAGATGGAGCATCCACATATCATTGTGGTGGTGCCTGTTGCAGGCCTGATGACATCAACATCTTCCTGGTCGCTTCCTAACACCAGCCCGTACCAGTGTATTTAATACTCTTGTTCTTCATTTTTTGCAGCATGTTCAGGACAGCACCCAGGTATTTTCTTTGGTAAAGAGAATATGGATTTCTTTCATTTTTCCCATTTTCAATTACTTTTGCATGAATTATTTGAAAACAAACTTGTTGCTTGCAATTTGAAATCTGGGGCCATTTTATTTCTGTTAATTAGCACAGCAGAATTAAGTGAAAGGAAATGAGAGAGCGCTACAACTTGGGTTTCAAAATCTGAAAAAGCTCAGAAATATCTGTGTGAAATGTTGAAAAAGAAAGACAACATGAACATTACAAAACCAACTGAACACAGAATTCTTACAGAAGTTAATGAAGACACAGGAAGTGATCAAGTTGCGTTTTGGAAGGTGAGGAAACTTTGTTAATGACTCCTTTCCACTACCTTACTTTTTCCAGAATATATTCATGCAAATGTGGCTAGGTGGTGTGGGAAGACATAGATCAGCTACACACACTGCTGTGGTATCAGAGAAGCTACTTGTGGGCACACAGCTCAGGCATACTGTTGTCCTAGTGCAGGTGGGATGCTGAAAGCCCATCTGTCAAAATGCTATGCTTAGTGTATGTGGAATATATAGTGCAAATGAGACTCAGTGACGTGCAGCCCAAGAGCGTTTCTGACCTCCTAAGTGTGTCTGGAAGCAGAGAGACTTGCCAAACCATGGTGCTCGAATAACTTTTAAAATAACCATCAACATACCGAAGACCTCAATTTGACCCTTTAACAGTCCTGAACTTTTGCTGGCTTTCTGCATAGTTAGGCATAGAATTGCGGAATAAGGATCAGGTTGCTCTGGACCTTGTCTGGCTGAGGTTTTTAATATCTCCAAGAATATTTTCTAACCTCTCTGGGCAAGCTATTCCAATGTCTGTTTTACCCTTATAGAGAATTTTTTTCCCTAATATCTAATTGTAAATTCTTTTCCTGCAGATTTGTGTCTGTTGTCTTTCATCCTATCATCGTGCATCTATGAGAAGAGTATGGCTCCATCGTCTCCGTACTCTTTCATTAGGAAGCCAAAACCAGAAATAAGGTCTCCTCCCAGCCTTCTCTTCTTAAGAAACATTCAGAAAAGAATGGGTTACTTTTGGGTGTGTGAGGCATGATAAAAATAATTATTTCCTGTTTCTCTTGGTGCCTTTCCTTGTGTAGCAGAGCCTTCCAATAACGTCAGAATGGCAATATATCTCGGCTCTGTCATTTCACAGTGATAGTGCTGGCTTGGGAGTAAGTAGATGATATAACACTTCTGCACAAAGTTTGGCTTGTGCAAATTTTTCAAGATCAGCCTTTTATTTGTTATCATAGAATCACAGAATCTGTGGGTTGGAGGGGACCTTTAAAGACCATCTAGTCCACCCCCCCCCTGCCATGGGCAAGAACATTTTTCACTAGATCAGGTTGCTCAAAGCCCCCTCCAACCTGACTTTGAACACTCTCTGGGATGGGGCATCCGCAACTTCTCCAGGTAACCTGTTCCAGTGTCTGTCCACCGTCACTGTAAAAAAATTTTCTTCCTTCTATCTAGTCTGAATCTACCCTCTTTTAGTTTAAAACTGTTGCTGTGTCACAACAGAGAGGCCTTTCCTCTTGCATCACAACCTTGCATTTATGTGTTTTTTGGCAAACATCAGCCAAAAAGGCATTCAGATTAATTTATAGATTGAAATTTCTGTTTTCCAGTTAAGTTCTTGCCTCCATGGCTCATAATTGAGGGAACTGACTTTTGTCGGGATATAAACTCCCAGATGAGGGCACTTCTGGTAACAGTCAAAGTTTTGAGCGCTGCGTGTGCTAATTTGGACTGGCATGTCTTAACCAAGGTGAACCTGTGTCCCAGTGAAGTTTCAACAACTTATATTGGCTTTAAAATATTCCATGTAGTGAAACTGGTGGGCCTGTTACCCGGGCCTGTTGCCCAGACCTGTTGCCTTTGAGGAGCTCTGGGTGAAGCGCAAGAATATTTGGTAACTGCAAAAAGACCCTTCTCTAAAGAGCAGAACTGGGGAAAATGGAGGGAAAGGGATGAAAAGCCAGTCTCTGGAACATTTGTTATGAGTAGAATTCAGAGCAATTTCCTATGTTTCAATAAGTGGTGATTTACTTTCTGAAGTCCTGATGTGAAATAGCTGCGTTTTACAGTCTGTCAGGTATCATGGGCCTCCAGTAAAGTGTCTGATATCAGAAAGGGAAGATAGTTGTCGGGGAATTTTTGGGTAGAGTGTATATGAGAGCAGTACCACACCACTCAGTGGCATATAATTTAAATTTTCTTTTACTAAGCAGCAGGTTCGGTAGAGCAGGAGGATAGTAATTTCTACTGTAAGCTTTAACTGTTCTGACAGCGACAAATCAAAGGCCCCGCTCTTCTGGTCCAAGTTAAATTGACACCATGTTCCCAGGATAATGGGCCAATCACTCCAAGCGGTCGGTGTGTTGAGTGCTGGCTTCTGGCTGCCCCCACACACAGCGGGCTCCATCTTCTACACAGTGCTGGACGTTTGTGTATGGAGTTCCCCTTCCCCTGTCCCGAGAAGCTATTGTTTTCACTACGAATTAGATCGACAGCATAACCTGCTAGTGGCCCCTTTAATCATGTAGACCCACACTACTGTCTTTTATCTGCATGTGAGCCCACTTAAAGATTTTCGCCGGAATCTCTGAACCTCCGGTCTCCCAACCCCAGAGTGTTACAAAATGTGTGAGGTAGGCAAATGTTAAAGAGCAAAGTTTATCTGCTGTTTCTTTGTGACCTAGCTCATATCACCTAGTCCGAGCTGGGCAAAGGCAGTCAGGTTCTCACTTACCTGAGCAAGATGTCGGGTAGGCTTCAGCCCATGGCACTAGTGCAGAAGGCTGGTCTTGCTG